ATTTATCTATTTAATAATATTTTATAATTATAAATTTATAATTTTATAGTATTGGAAGTATATCATTGCCTTAAAATAATGATAGTTAGAGTAAATAAAACTTTGATTAGAGCATAATCCACCTTTGAGTTTATATTTTCTTTTCCGCCCGCCCACGTGAGTATCTTCTACAACATAACCATAAGGCCGAATTGTATGGGCCGGGCCTACTTTCAACAAGATTCATGACGTGGCAACCCACTTGGGGGCGCACTTGCTCATACGTGTCATCCGTACTGACTGACGCGTGTCAGGTAGGACAAAAGGGCCGTCAGTGGTTTGGTTGGATGCCCGTTGTTCTGCAGGCCTGGGTCTAATCTTTCTATTATCCGTTATTCCGTTACGGGGTTACTTGGCAACCTCCGTCGCCGTAATATTTTTTTTTTTGTTTCTTTTCCTTATTTGTTTTTATCTTCAGTCTGTCACAGGAACACACTCGCCGGACCCTATATTTTCTAATTTTTCCCTTCGCCGGAGCTGGACATTTTTATTTTTAAAGTAAACAAATCGAGTAAAGCTAGAGCCATTCTAACACACTTATTTTTCATCTCAATTATTCATATTTTTTAATTTAGATTATATATAAAATATTTTATTTTATTATTTAAACTGTATTAAATTATAAAATAATAATTATTAAGTAAGAAAGTAAAAGTTGGTGGATTGTATAATATTTATTTTATATATAAATTAATTATTTAATTAAATGAAATTTTGATAATTTAATTTTTTTAATAATTAAAATTTTAAAAAAAAAAACTTAAATACAATCTTCATTAAAATATGTAAATAATATCACTAATAGAGCAAACATTTAAAGTATCAAAAAAATCTTAAATTTTATTTTTTTTAATTAAGGGAGGTTACTACATATCAATTTTGATTTTAAAAAATAATTAAAACTATAATCTATATCTAAAACCTAAAATTTTATCCTATGTTAATATCTAAATTTAAAATTTTATTATATATTTTAATATATTAATATTTAATAAATTTTAACTTGCATTTGCAAGTTGAG